CCTGATTCCTCTATATCCATTAAAATAAAGTATATATATATTTTCTATTCTTTGCCAGTCTGGGAGATGACAAATATTATTTAATATTACTTTAAAGTTCGGAAGTTTTATGTTGTTATCATCCAACAATCATTGCAGAACCCAAGTCCCACCTTTTAAGCCTCAGCTTTTAAATCACCCCAAAGTGGCCCTAAAAACCCTTTACTTCTATGCCCAGAGGAACTTCCCCAAGGAGATGCCTCTCCTCAAGGGCAATGCTTTCCTGTCCCCTTCATTGGAAATTTCTATTTTTCTCAGACCTGTTTATCTTAGAGAAGTTTCTGGAGGAAAGTAACCTGATAGAATTGATTTTCCCTAATTTGTGAATAATTAATAACACTTAAACCTGTACCTTTAATAGACTGTTCTTAAAAAAATAAACTTTGAAGAGACTCCAGGGGTGTTATTTTGGATCCATTAACAGAAGGAGGGGGACAGAGAGCCCAGGGAGAAGCGGATATTTGGAGAGAGATCTGCCACTTCACTCTCCTTGGAATCTGTGCCCAGGTCTGCTCTTCAGAGCTGGTCTTGTTTTTCTTAGCTTCTTTCTTTCCTCTTTTGAAACCTCTCATGGATTACTTCTCAACTCAGGCTGCAGAATTGAATCTCTGGGAATCTTTGAAACTTCCAAGGCCTGTGGCCACCCCATAAGTCTGCCTTAATTAACCTGGTGTGGGGCTCAGGGACCTGTCTTTTCAAAAGCTCCCCAGGTGATCCCTTTTGTGGTCAGCAGCAAGAACCACCGTTCGCATAGTTTTCCTCTAAGAGCTAAGATTTCACACAGGCTCCCCCTGCAGGGACTAGGGATCTTGTAGGAAAAGATCAAAAGAGATCAAATCAAAAGGAAAAGCAGACCAGAAAGAAAAGGAAAAAAAAAAAAACTCACCAACCCAGCAAACCCTTCTTGTAACCTGAAGCTTTTAAAGACAGATAGTGACCTGGGAAAGGGTGGGGACCCCAAGTCAGAATATGCAAGCTGCAGCCCCAGGTCCAGTCCTGCCTCCAAACTGAGCACACCTCTTCCTCAGCCGAGTGCCTTCTGTACGGCGACCCGACGGCGCGTCTGTACGGTGACCCGACGGCGTCTGTACGGCGACCCGACGGCGCGTCTGTACGGCGACCTGACGGCGCGTCTGTACGGTGACCCGACGGCGCGTCTGTACGGTGACCCGACGGCGCGTCTGTACGGCGACCTGACGGCGCGCCTGTACGGTGACCCGACGGCGCGTCTGTACGGCGACCTGAGGATGCGTCTGTAACTAGACGGCACACGCCCCCCGACCTCTGTCTCTTCTTCCCTCCTGCGTCCCGAACGTTTAGCTGGGCGCTTAGAGCAGATTTTTTGGTGGCTCAGATGAAGAATTTGCCTGCAGTGAGGGAGACCTGGACTGGATCCCTGGGTAAAGATCCCTTGGAGAAGGGAATGGCTGCCACTACCAGTATTCTTGCCTGGAGGACTCCATGGACGAGGAGCCTGGTGGGCTACCGTCTGTAGGGCCTCAAAGAGTCGGACATGACAGAGCGACTTTAACTTTTTTTCGCTTTAGGGGCTATTTTCACCCTATCTGACTCCCTTCTAGCCTAGTCTATGGCTTACCTGAAATGAAATCTCATCTGTTATGCAGAGGTATTTAAATTGGTATGCAAATGGTAGTAAAAGGAGTAAAGACCCACCACTGGCCATGCCGCCCAACGCCCCGACAGAAGTCCCGTGTTCAGCACCGGGAAACCCCTGACAGGCCCTCTGCCTCATTAGCAGAGTCCCTGCTGCTGGACCCCACTGGCCTTTTGGGGGGAAGCAAAGCCTCCAGACTGAGCAGCTCCCGTGCTCTCCTCTCCGCCCCAGGCAAATGTTCAGGGCTGCAGTGAACACTGGCTGGGAGGGAGCTGGCCCTTCCATCTGGGTTATTCGGAACAGATGGGGCACAGCTGCCCCCGTGTATCACAGCTGGGCTTCCCGCCTGGTGCTGCACTTTCCCGGGGGCAGCTTCTGGGGCCATCGGACGGCTCAGGGGCAGGGCCTCTTTAGTGGGCATTCTGAGAAGCCCTGCAGACCGCTTGTCTGATTTTCAGTGCTTTCCCCCAGCTGGTCTCTCAGGGACTCTCCCAGTGGGCAGTATAAAGACTGAGCTCCAGAAATAGCTCCTATCCGTCCCTGCCTCTCCATTTTCACAGCTGCTGCTTTGCCTGAGACCCCCGTCATTCTGTCCCCTGGGGCCTGCGCCCACGTCAGCCCCCGCCCCCCGCCCCGTTCTGCTTCCGTCCTTGCTCCTCCTGTCCCCACCATCGGCCACCAGCGTCTCTGATTGCGTGCCTCCAGCCAGGCCATCCCCCTGCTGATGTTGTTAAGTTGTATCTGATTCTTTTGTGACCCCATGGGCCTGCTAGGTCCATGGGATTTCCTAGGCAAGATCACTGGAGTGAGTTGCCATTTCCTTCTCCACGGGAATCTGCTCAGCTCAGAGATCAAACCCTCATCTCCTGCATTGGCAGGTGGATTCTTTATCACTGAGCCACCAGATTCTAGATCAGTGATTTCATTCCTGGCTGCACATTAAAATCATTCAAGGGACTTTTAAAAAAATGCAGATGCCCAAGGTCCCTTGCCCAGAGATTCTGATAGAATCTTGGGTAAAGTGTCCTCCAGGACTCTTTGTCCCAGGACAATGCCTGGTACACGAGGCCCCTGGGTAACGCTCTTCCTATCTACTGTCCTGCTGTCTTGTATGTTTCATTCCAGACCTTAGACTCTCTGGCTCCTGGAACTCTTGAGAAATGAGAAACTCTTGCTCAATTTTCACAACTTCCTAAAATTGTCACCACTTTTTCTGTGGAGTATTTTTGAGACCCTTATATTGAGTCAGGTCTTACTACTGATTCACTCAGAGCTGCAAGCGGCGCTGTTGTCTGCTTGCTTCTCTTAGCCACTAGCCTGCAATTCTCCCAGGACAGTATTTTAAGCCTCTTTGCCTAAGTATCTTCCGTCTAATTGTGGATTAGCCCAGATGAAGTGATTGTCCACTCTCCCAAATGCAGGGGTGGGGGAGAGGCATGCATTTTATGGTTGCTGTTCTGTTTTTTGTTTTAGCGAACATTATAGTCTACCACGTGACATGGACTGTCCTACAGGTCCTACTATATTAATGGATATATTTCTGCCAAGAGCCTGGAAGTACAGTCATTCTCCCTACTTTGCAGGGGAGGGAAACTGAGTCAATGAGGAAAGGCAGGTAACTTGGTGCATAGTAGGGTACAACATGTGTGTGTGGAGTGAAGACATGGGTTTCTCTCTGCTCTGGTTATAAACACGGCTTTGTGACCGGACTAGGTATTAGGACTATGTTTCTTTCAGTGAACACTTTGCACAGACTGTGCCTTAACAGATGATAAACATTTTGTAGGAGGGCTTCCCTGGTGGATGAGATGGTAAAGAATCTACTGGCCAATGCAGGAGATGTGGGTACAATCCCTGGGTCAGGAAGATCCCCTCCAGAAATGGCAACCCGCTCCAGTATTCTCGCCTGAAGAATTCCATGGACAGAGGAGCCTGGCAGGCCACAGCCCGTGGGGTTACAGAGTCGGACACAACCGGGCGAGTACCACTAACAGTTTTGTAGGAAGTAGTTGAAACCCTCGTGACTAATTCCCAAGGCGCTTTCCTCAACAAAGGAGGTTGGCAGTGTGGTGCAGTGTGAGTCAGAGGCATCCAGGGCAAAAGAACAAGAGAGAGAGATGCCATAAATCAACGCCCACTATGCCAACAACCTACATGCCCTGGGAGCTTTCCTGCCTGATCTCATGGATCCCTTGCCAATGATATAGAGTAAGAATTATGTTTACAGGAGATAAAACCAGAGCTTGGGAAGGTAGGTGACTCATCCAGTATCACATAATTAGTTAAGGAAAACGACTGGAATTAAACTAGTCTGTTATCTCCCTTTCAACAGAAGGCTTCTCTGCCTGGTGTATCATTGGAATCTCTAGCTTTCCTCATTCACTTTTGTCTCTAAAAGCAGGTTTATTTTGCTAAAAATATATATATACCATGTTTAGAAAAATGTGAGAAAACTAAAATTGCCTATAATTCTACACTACTCAAAGATTAAAAATCACTGGGGACATTTTGAAATTTTTGTTTTTTTTTTTATCTTTTGACTCTGAATTTATGTATCAATAAGTCAATAAATGTTTTCTATAACTTTGTAGTATATGAAGAGGTTTTGCCCTTTTTTTCCCAAAGCAAACATATTAGAAGTGGTTAAGCAACCCCCTTTATTTTAGGCATAGGTGAGTTGGTTTTATAGCATAGTACGTTGTGAATATTTGCTCGAAGCTCCTCCCAACTTGTCATTTCTTCTCAGTGTCCCTTGGCACTTGAGATGGAAGGCCCTTTTCTGCATCGTTGCCCTTTCTCTAATGAAAACGTTACAGCACAAAAGCCACGACAATGAGCGGCACCTCACAGTCTTTCGCATTCCATCTCACCAACTTACTGTCCAAGTCAGGGGTTACTCTTTTCCCAAGTTACCAGCAGAACCAACTGAGATCTAGGCAACTGAAGGCCTGAGTGGAAAGCAACTTACAGGTTTTAATGGTCTTATTTCCATTGTATTGATTAAAACAAAGGCTCTTGGGCAGAAATGTGTTAACTGTACTATCTGTTTTACTGCAAGCATGCAGGCTGAATACTGTGGATAGTTGTAAGGTATCCGATAATCCTCTTCCTAGGCTCTGAGACCTAGTGTGAGGGTATATTCCATGGTTCAGCTCCCGTTTTAAAAAGAAAACAATAGAATTAAACGGTAAAAAGAAGAAGATGATGCCCAGGAAGCAGCAAAATGAAGAGAGGGTCCACTCTAAGTATGTACATGGACCGCAGCAGGCAAGGGAACTTCCCTTACTCTTTGCAAACGCGCCCGAGTCAATCATCACTACGCTTGCCCTCCCTGTGTTTTTTGCAGGAAGGGACTTGAATGACGGCCTGTGGCATTCGGTTAGCATCAATGCCAGACGGAACCGCATCACTCTCACGCTGGATAACGATGCGGCATCCCCGGCTCAGGACACCAGCAGGATGCAGATTTATTCTGGAAATCGCTACTACTTTGGAGGTAAATTCCCCAGCTTTTGAGGTTGAAAAAAGGAGGGAGGGAGAATGCAGTGGGCACTGATTTCACCGCAATGATTCTTTCTGTGTCAAATTGACCACTCTCCCAATATATGTACACACACACAGACACACACACCCCCCACACATCCCTATCCTCAAGCTCAAAATAATGAGAAGCAAACTTTTCACAGCTGTACAAATTTTCTAGGTCAGTGCTGAGGAAAAAAAAAAAAAATCTAGCTATAAGAGCTGGTGTTATGTAACACATCCAAAGGAGATTTTTGTAGCCATGCCAAACTCTGTGATCATATTCCAGAGGAGAAACTCAGTTGAAAACTTGGAGAAAGTTTACAGAGAGTCAGCAGTACCTGAAAGAGAAAAAAATCCAGATGGGAATGTACAACGAGCATCCTCAGCTTTCTCCATCACTTCTCAGCTGATTTGCTTTCTTAATCCCCTACCCATCCCTTCCTCACATCCCTGGAGGCGGTGCTCATGGAGGGGAGCTGGAGGGAAGACCCAGAAGGGCCATGAGTTTATAGCTCCACGAAGAGCAGCCCCCTCCAAAGCTAGGAAACTTGGCAAATGTGAAAAGGCAAGGGCAATCCGGTAAGCAGGAGAAGTAAATAATTAGGCTTTATTTTTATAGTATATGTGTATTTTTATTTAATTTTAAGGGTAGTTTTTCATTAAAAATATCCATGCCTACTTTGTCAATTGTTGGTATTATAGAAACAGTCTTTAATGAGTGATTAATCTCAGTAGCTGTCTGACCTTGAGTAAGGCACTCACAGTCCCTGAACTTCCTTATCCAGGATATGGGGAAACAAAGCAGAATTGCTGGGAGAGTTCAGCGAGGTCAAGGTTAAACCTACAGCATCGCGCTTTCTACATTAGAACGGGCAGACTGGTTTCACCTTTTGTAAATATGGGCCTCTGTTGGACCTGGTCTAAAGAGAAGTGCCCTGTAAAAAGTACAGTCTCTGAAATACAATTTGTAAATCACTTCTGTCATACCACTGACACGGGGCTATCTTTGAAATATAAAAGGGACTTTGACAGAGGCAGTGTACACAGGGGGTGTCCTGGGAGCGAAGCTGAGTGCAGTGGTTCCTTTGTGGTTTGATTTTAGGACCCAAAGCCTCTGTCCTTCACGCCAAATCTCCATATGTGCCCAGATAACAAATTCCTTTAGAAAGGGAACATTTTCATCCTCTGTAAATGTTTTATGTGTCTTGCATCATTTAATTCAGGCAATAACTTTATGGGGTAGATAATTTTAGCTCCATTTTACAGATAGTAACACTGGTGTTTGCGAAGATGAATAATTTGTGTGAGTAGTAGAAGCGGGATTTAACCTTAAATCTGAGTTCCCCGTGACCCACTAGTGACAGCAGAAGGATGTCGTCTAAAGACTGCAAAAGAAGGGTCTTGGGGGCCCCAAAGATAAATCTCACAGAATGTATAATTTCGCATCATATGCAGTATTTCATTGACACAGAATAAAGCAATCTTATATTTATTTCTGGGGGAAATAATGTTGAATTAATTATGTGACTTAAGCATCTGAAATGCCTCAAAGGCAAAATAGCTCCCTTCCCCCAGTAGAAGTGTTTTTAGACGCAGGTCTTGTGAGACTCCAGGCTGAGGAGGGAAGATTTATCTGAGATCTGAACAGTGTTTAAACAAACACCCCACACGTAGACTGTAAACTTAAGGCAAGTGAAAAATGAGTTTGAGTAATAATCGTCAACTTACATAAATTCTCTCTACAGCTTCAATTAGAAGTTGTAGCGCCTCTCTTCATTTTATAGTGTGCCTGTGAGCTGTTAACCAGCTGCTGGGCTTCAGCCCAGCAGTGACTGTCTATTAGAGATGGCTGAAATAATTTCCAATTATTTATGGGTTATTGCCATGTTTTCAAGCTTGCATTCCCATATGCTCTGAACCTATTAAAACCGTTGGAATGGAGTTTATAAAGAGCATGGTCACCCATGCGCGTCTGTGACTCTATACCTGGCAATGCGAAGTAGTTATTCTCTGGTTGCAAGCTATGCTTAATCAGTGTGATGCATATTTTTAAAACAACACCCTTTAAAAAGGTATGGCGTTAAACTTTCATATATGTGATTACAGTCCTATAACTGTACATTGAAACTCTTAGTTCCTTTAGCATTTGTGTTTGCTTTGCATATCACTTCAAAATTCCAGTTACATTCCTGTATATACTTTTCTCAGGAACTAAACCTGATAATGCTGACAATTAACCAGACAATTACTCTGCTACTGTTCTTACCCAAAGCATAATTTTCTTTGAATGTGTAATTTGGAATTGAATTATGCATTTAAAAGTGTGTTTTCAAATCGGAACTGAAATTCCCAAGTAGTTATGATATGTTGCTTTCTTGGGCTGAGTGAAGCATGCCACACAAAACAATAGCAAATGGCTTACAAATAGGGAAAAAAGAAATAAGAATGAGATAAATGCAATGGGATCAGTATCCCCTGTAACACATTTTGTTTTCTGTTCTATACAGTGATTAAGTATGCCTCATTTTGTACCAGTTTTGTCCCATCTCTGAGAAAGCTAAGATTTACAACAAAAAAATGTGTGCATTGCTGTGAATGAAAAAACATTGAAATAATTAGACTTCAAGGTCTTCTGTCAGTAGGTCACTAAAGTAATGACTGATCATTCCAGTATTCTTCTTAATTTTTTTTCTCTGTCCCACAGGGTGCCCTGACAATCTCACCGATTCCCAATGTTTAAATCCCATTAAGGCTTTCCAAGGCTGCATGAGGCTCATCTTTATTGATAACCAGCCCAAGGACCTCATTTCAGTTCAGCAAGGTTCCCTGGGGAATTTTAGTGATTTACACATTGATCTGTGTGGCATCAAAGACAGGTAATTATTGTCTCTTCTCCTCTGTTCTGCCACTGCCTTCCCATTCTCACTGTTCTAAATATGAATTTCTTTCACCAAAATTCGAATCCACTGATATCAGCCACATTAGATATAATTGAGTCACCTAATGGAATATATTTCTGAAAGGATTTCAGGCCCAGGGAAAAATGTTTTAAATAAGTTGAGTTTCACTTGCAGTAAATGGGATATGCAAATTAAATCAAAATACAAATTTGTGAAAGGATTAAAATTTTATGCGTAAACAACATTTGATTACTTTGAAGTTAAGGGGGACGTGAAAGGAGGGAGGAGTTGCAGCTAGGAGCAGCAGTGTGTGTCCGTTCACACGGAGAGATGGAGTCACGCCCCTGGGACTCCCGTAGCAGAGGTTTGGACAGTGTCCAGTAGTTCGCTGACTCCCTGGAAGCCTGACCTTTGCTGTTACCACCCTTAGCCCACTGCTTCTTTTAGCAGAGGAGACCAGACCCTGGGCAGAGAGCAGCATTTCTATTCCACAACTTAACAAATTTAGCAAGACTTCCCTTTCCCTCTTCATTTCTCCCGAGCTCTAGCTCCTCTTCTGTTTGATGTTTCTGAATATGAGGTTTTGAATAAGAGATTCAGAGACACGTTGCAGGAAATTAAAGAGGAGGGGCTCTGAATTTTCGGCAGAGCTAATCGTGTGGTCCACGTGTGCTCGCTAGCACTTCATCTCCTTCCTTCTGCCAGCGCTGCTCCCCAGAACGAGTTAGCAGTGCGCGCTCAGTGTCTGCCTCTGTGTTGCTGGTACAGAGTCTCTGCTTATGTTTCAGGGAGTTAATTAGACATCGCCATAAAATGCTGCCAATGACCAGGTACACCTTTGTTTGTGAGATCTATGACTGTGGCAATGGGGGTCAGGACAGCTTCCAGGAAGTGGTGCTGAGCTGAGTCCGACAAGATGGGCAGGCGTGGCTGAGGGCGGGGGTGATGGTAATTCATCAGTTGGAAGGACGTGGCATGCAAAATGCCATAGAAATAGGGGGATCATGGTTTTCAAGCCTTTCGTCTACCCATGACTCTTAGTTTTCATTTAAAAACCTCTAATATTGGGGTGCCTCTTACCTTTGAAGGTTTATAGTAGTTTAATTGGCCGTTTATTGTTCTTAGGAGCCTGTAAAACAATGTCCTGTCTTACAGTGAATGGTGTCTTCGATTCCATAAAATATAGGTCATGGTGATAGAGCATATGATGTGAATATGGCTGGGGACGTGCGTCAGTTATAAAGAGCTTTGCATCCGTATGGCATTTAGCCTGATGCCCTAGGAAGACTCTAGAAGGAAGGCAGTCAGATTTGTTTGGTAAAAAGAGTTTTCAGGAAAAGTGAGAAGGATGCATTGGAAAAGAACCAGCCAAAAGGCAGAGAGGTCAGTGTCCCAGTCCAGGGGAAGAATGATGAGAAATAGTAGGTGCCTGTGCTGAGCATCACAGAAATCAGCGCTGCAGACCATAATCTCCTCTCATGCTCGGAATGACTGATAGAATTCGGTGGAACTTTATATGCATGTTCCTCTGTTAAAACCACTCCACATGGGATTGTCAACAAATCACACAAACTCCCAGGCTCTTCTGCTTCATTTTTTTCCTATTTGGCCAGCTGGAAAAGTGGGTAATAAAACACATGCTTCATTAGTATGTGCTAGTTTAGAGATCTCAGAATAAAAGATATCTCACAGAATGGTTGTCATTCCTATAGTCGTTATTAATGATAAGGGGTTGCGGGGTATCCTACTTCATCAGCCAGGATAGCCTTTTGCAAAGTGTAGATCTATGGAATGTTTATCAATAGGGATCTCTTATGATAAGTTAATTTCTAACTGAGGGTGCTTTCATTATTTTTGATTACATGGGACGCCATCGCCATCTACTTTGCATCATTACTTTTGTGTAATTGTAGACTGTATAATTGTATTACATACAATAGTGTTTTGGTTAATTGTATAATAAGGGATTGTGTTTAGTTTAGTGGGTAAATGGGACATTTTTCTTGATTTACCAGACAGTCTCTGTAACAGAAGGGAAACTGGTAAAAGGCTTTGCTTAATTAATTATTTCTTGAACTTATATTTAACATTTGGTGGCGAGGGGGGCTGCGGTTAGAAAAACAGGTGGTTTCTGAGTTCTGCATTTTATTTTTAATGTGCTAATCAATGTGAACCTGATTTAAGGACAAGTGCGAAGGAAGTTGTGCCTTCAAGGAGCCTGCCACTTGGGGTGGAGGTGGGGTTTGTGGGGACACAAGGGGGTAGAGAACAGTCTGGCTGTGTGTGTTTTTTTTTAGAAAAATTTAGTGAGGTTTAATGAAATTCAATGGATATTTTAAAACATTAGACACTTTAAATCATTTTGATTAAAAATGTTAGTTTTCATTAACTATGATTCCTATTTTATCTTTTATTTGTAACAGTGGGCTCTAACACTTCAGAAGAAAATTTTGTGAAAGCACATCAAAAATAATTTTGATTTTCAAATTTCTTACCTTTAATATATGCTTTTGATGAAAAGATATTCAAATGTCATGGAGAAGGAAATGGCAGCCCACTCCAGTACTCCTATCTGAACAATCCCATGGGCCGAGGAGCTACAGTTCAAAAGAGTCACAAAGAGTTGAACAATGATTGAGCAAGTATGACATAGTCCAGTGTCATAGTTTGAATACAGTTGTATTTTATTTTATTAAAAAATTTGATTTTATATTGGAACATGGTTGATTTAGAACATTGTGTTAGTTTTAGGTGCACAGAAAAGTGATTCAGTTATGCATGTGCATAGCTGATTGTTTTTTCAGAATCTTTTCCCTTGTAGGCTCTCACGGAATATTGAGTGTAGTATAGTATGCAGTACATAGTATACAGTAGGTCATTGTTGGTTACCTGTTTTATACATAGCAGGGTGTATGCGTTAGTCCCAAACTCCGCATTTATTTCCTCTCCCCGCTCTCCCTTCTTTGGTAACCTTCAGTTTGCTTTCTCTATCTGTAAGAATTTGAGCAAACTCTGGGAGATGGAGTACAGGGGAGCCTGGTGTGCTAGAGTCCAGGGGTCGTGAAGAGTCAGATGTGACTCAGCTACCGAAATGCAACAGCGTCTGTTTCTGCTTTTTGTGAATAAGTTCACTTGTGTTCTATCTTAGATTCCACGTAGCGGTGATGTCATATGATACTTTTCTCTCTCTGACTTACTTCACTCAGTATGATGATCTCCAGGTCCATCCATGTCGCTGCAAATGGCTTTATTTCGTTCTTTTTTACGGCTGAAGTCTTGAGTAAAACCTGGGAGAGCTCCTCCTCAGGGACTGAAGGATTTAAACCAACAATTTGCGTCTCCATAATGGGCACTGTGCAGAAGCTTCTGGCCTTGAGGAGGAAAGGAGGTTAACCGGCCTGGCCCACAGCAGCCCTTTAGGAGGCTCTTTGGAGGACTGCCCAGAGCCCGGCAGGCCGAGATCACGCGGGGAGAACCCTTGCAGGAACCACAGCTGGGACCTGGCAGACCACAGCCACCGTCAGTGCGCTTCATACCTCGAGAATACAATGCACAGCCACCATTGCCCTTCGCAGGCTGCATCTCCAGCCTCGTGTTCGCCACACTCCACACATGGCTCTTCAAGCCCTGTACTTGCCTCCTGCACCCTCTTGGGCTTAAAATAGGCCAGGCTTGATATTATAAACCATCATCAAGCAGAGTAAGCTTAGAGCAGAGTCCCACCCTCGGTTATTTGACCTCACAGACAGACCCTGAGTGAGTGACAGACACACACCTTTCAGTGAGTGGCGGTCTGAAGAAGAATAATAAGAGGCAGGCTCACATCAATACATACTCTAGTAGAAGAGGGTGCAGCCAGAGCTGTAGAAGGCAGGAGGGCATGAGAACATGGATGTCCCGTTTTTTCAAGGGAATAAACTAAGGTCTGGGGATTATGTCCACTTTCTCATGGTCACAGGACTGAAGTTTCAATCTAGAGTTAGACACTGCCAGGGTCCTATCCCTTGGACTATCTGCCCGAAAGGATCTGAACTGGAAATGGCAGTCACTGTGTGCCTGCGCATCTAAATAGGAAACCTCGTCTTCTGACCTCATACAACAGTTGTTCAGGGATGTGCCATATATTAAAACTCTTGTAAACCTTAGGTGCCTGATGAGCTTCCTTTTAAAAGGGAGGCATTCAAAATGGTATGCAATGTCAGGCAAGGTCTTTTTTTAAGTCTGCAGTCTTTCTTGCAACATATATATGTTGCAAGTGTACAGCATAGTAATCACAATTTTAAGGTTACCTTCCTCTTATAGTTATTATAAAATATTGGCTATATTCCCCATGCAGTACACTGTATTTTTGTAGCTTATTTTTTAACTTTATTTTATATTGGAATTTAGTTGGTTTATATTGCTATATTAGTTTCAGGTATACAGCAAAGTGGTTCAGCCATACATACGCATGTATCTATTCTTTTCCAGATTATTTTCCCATTTAGGTTACTGCAGAATATGAGGGAACTCTACTCAGGCAAGGGTTTAGTGATGTAAGCATGTCCCACTTTTGGTGGCCCAGGTCAAGGAATGCTTCTTCCTAGGACTTATGTGGAAGAATCCAAGCAGTTAATTCCAGGAGCCATATCCGGTCCTGCAGGGTTCAGCGTCCAGGGCCGAAGAAGCTAATCAGCAAATGCTCTCTAAGATTCCATCCCAAGAGGCAAGGACCCAGGGTGTGAGGCCAAACTTAGAGGAGCAAACGGGGATGCTGGTGAATCAGTGAAGGGAGGCGGAAGTCACACCTGGAGAAGGCGCCAATTCCAGGGCAGGTGGCAGTCGATCTGAGAGGCGTAAGAGCATGTTTAATTCCCTGTCTGTTACTTGTCAGCTTGAAATAGGATGCATAGCATCTAACCTTTTTTCCTCTTTTGCAAAGCTGGGATAATGAAACCTTTGCATTGAGAGCTACATGAGAGAGCATGAGGAGTCAG